GCCTCCTGGGCCGGGCGCCCTGCCATAGTGACGGGTTTCTCGCCGCCCCAGTGCGGAGGTGGGGGGCAGAGACGTGAGCACATTTTAGCCCTGTTGTTGTTTAATAAAGAATTCGGTCTTTGTCCTGGGTTCCTGGGACAGAGCTTCTAAAACCCTTGGGATTTCCAGTGGTAGGAGTGTCTTTGCCATTCACGGGGGCCCCTGGCCTCCACCTGAGTTTATGCGAGAGGAAGACCAAGGAGCAGCCATGTGACTGGAGTGCTGGGGCTTTGGGCCAAGACACCGACCTGGTCTCTTGACCTCTGAGGAGGGCCGAGGGGGTGGATCGAGGACAGTCTCACGGCCAGTGGTTCAGTCAGTCGTGCCTCAGTAATGAAACCCCAATAAAAACTGGACACTGGGGCCCAGTGGCCCTTCCTGGTTGGGAAAGGGACTGGCGTGCCAGGAGGGTGACGTGCCCTGGCTCCTCGGGGCTGGTGTGCGCAGTGCCCTCCCAGAGCTTGCCCCGAGTGGCTCTTCCTTTGGCTGGTCCTGATTGTGCCCTTTACAGTGAAAGTATGATCATAAGTATAGTACTTTCCTGCTTTCTGTGAGTTGCTCCGGTGAAAAATCCAACCTGAGGGGTGTGGTGTGGAGCCCTCGCATTTGCAGCCAGTTGATCAAAAATCCACCTGGCCTGGGGACCCCAGAGCTCGCAGCTGGTGTCTGAAGTGAGGGCAGTCTTCTTGGGGACCTGGCCCTTGATTTGTGCAACTCACTCTTTACAATACGTATTACCAACTACTTTCCAAAGTTTATGTACAAGATGACACTTTTTATTAACTGTGAGAATGGAAGTCTGGCTTCGGGGCATCTTGCTATCCTCATTTATAAAGAGGGAACTTCAATAGCAACAGCACAGGGCCATTGTGCAGTCGCTTACAGAGCTTAGACCAGAGCCTGGCCCACTGACAGTAGCCAGAAGTGCCAATGCCGTGTGCACGTGTGTGCACGTGCGCTCGTGGGCATGTTGTGGAGAAATCAGAAAATAACAACTGAAATGAGGAAGAAATGGTTTCAAGAGCTACCGCCCAACCAAAGACATCAAAACAGGGTTATATTTTGTATTTTGAAAGCCTCATTCTTTTAATAGGTTAGTGTATCCCTTTACGCTTATTATTATTACTATATGTCATCGTGTTCTATTTTTTAAAGACATCTTCTCTGCTCCTTTTCTCTATTCTTTATTTCTGTCGTTTTCTACGTGAGCTTCTTTCCCTCACCCTTTTGGTTTGCATACATCTACCGCTTATTTTGCTTTGGAGCTAGTACTGGTTCAGCCAGTACTCACTTTTAAATCTCTAATAAACATACCGAGTTTGGGTTTCTCAAGCTGCTGCCTTGAGGAGTGAAGCCGCGCCGGGACGTCCTCCTGTCCTGTCTTTGATTGTTCTGTCTCACAGTCTTTTTGTGGGCAGTTTTAGTGAAGTCATTAGTGGTAACCATCTCTTCTTTCAAGAATTATAAGAAATGCAGTCGGTGTGAATAGGCAGGTATTTTTAATGAAACAATAAACATCCAGTTCTTCGGACTTGGTCCAGTGGTCTCCACGTGTCCCGGCCTCCTCACCCCACGTCCCGGCCTGGAGTCGTCTCTTTGTCACTAGAGCCTGTCTCCAAGGAGATTTGTGTTTGTTTATTGGTTCGAATGAACAATTTCAAACATGCCCAAGATGGAGAGAATGGACTCACGTCCCACCATGCTGACTTAACAGGCACTAAGATTTTCCCATGCTTGCTTCAAGGACCTCCCCACCTTTTCTCTGAAATATTTTAGAGTCAATTTACAAGATCTGAAGTTATTTTACCCCTAAGACTTATGTACATATCTCTAAAAAATAAACATTTCTTGTATAACTCAGTGTCTTTATCACAGCTGACAATATAATAATTCCTTGGGATCCTCTACTATTCTACTCATATTCAGAATTCCTCCAATTTTCTCAAAAAATATTCTTCAAGTATGGGTCTCCCCTCTCCCCAGCCAGGTGCTTGGCTTCAGCGAGGAGGCAGAGGTTCTGAGAGGCGCACTGGCTTCCGGGTCAGATGCTGGCGCTGGACGTGCATCCACGGCTCTCTTTCTGAGTCCCCTGCACCCGGGGCTCCGCCTAAAGCTTTTGCTCGCAGGTTTAGGGGCTGAAGCTAGGAGAAGCAGACGTGGAGGTGAGCGGCCTTGGGAAGCTTCGCCCCAGCACAGCACGTTTTCTCTAGAAGATGGAGCAAGTCGCCCGGGGAGACAAGTCCAGGCCGAGCCCCGGTTGGTGTGGTTTCCTCTTTGGTGTTGTATCTGCTCTTAAGGACCTCCCCCGGGGCAGGGGCTGGGGCAGGGAGATCACGTGGCTGCGGGGGAGCTCTGGAGGCTTGTGGAGGAGCTTGGCTCTGCTGCTCCCCTGCTGTGTGTCTGCAACTGTGAATGGACCTCTGTGAGCTTCTGCCTTTGGAAGATGGAATTACCGTGCTTCCCTTGCTGGGCTGCCATGGGGTCACGTGAGTGTGGGCGTGCGTGGCCCCAGCATGGTGCTGGGCAGGGTGGTGGTTTATAAGCGGGAGCTGATGTCACTTCTCTCTGCCAACGAGGAGAGCAGGACACTGCACCAGAGCCAGCCCCGTGCCCCCACCGCTGAAGACCTCACACTCCCCCTCCGCTGTTGTAGAAGGTGGTCTGGTGGCGATCGCCAGCCCCGCCAGGGCTCCGGAAGGACAGCGCAGAGCACTTGTCCAGGGTCCTGTCGCTCCGTTACCTGGTCTGGCGTGAGGCTCCTGTACAGGGGCCCTGGGCACAGGGGGGCACCTCATTTTCTTACAGTGTTCCCCATCATCCCGAGGTTCGGTTTGAGAGGATCGGTGCGTTGATGCAAGAGGTTGGCAGAGTTGGTTCTGAGTCGTGGGTGTGTGGGAAGACAGCCCACTCGGTCGGGGCCGGGGCTCAGGGCCTGCGGAAGCTCTGTGCCAGCGAGCATGCCCAGAATGCACAGGAGCCGTCTGCGGTCCTTTCTGAGTGACCGGAGTGAAAACTTACCTCACCTTGAGGGAAACAGGGCCCGGGCAGCCTCACCGAGCCGGACGCCGTCAGTGAGCCCCAGGGAGGAGGACGACGTGAGGACCAGTGGCTGGGTGGGCCTCACACACTGTGTCCCTCACAGGACCCGGCGTCTTCTGTTCCCTGGGTGGGCCACATGTGCTGCACTCTGGAGGAGATTGGGAACAGCTGTCCCAACTCGTTGCCGTTGAGGCAGATCTGGCCCGCAGGCCAGCAGTTGGCGCCTCTGGTCATTCTGTCCTCTTTCTCAAAGCCCGAGGTGCTTGGCCCTCACCGAGGGTCCCGAGGAACTGCGTGCTCAGTGTCCTCTGTGAGGTGCGGACAGGGGCAGCCAGGCTTCCTGCTGTGTGTGTCCTCCCGGAATGGCCCCCTCCCTCCCTCCGATTGCTAAGTTCTCTTCTGCGCTTGCTCAGCAGAAACTCCTCTTCCTTTGATGTACGTCACTGTGCGGACACATCGGTCTGTGTGTGGCTGCCCCCCCAACCCACCCCACTCCCGCCCCGACTGTGAGCTCCTTGAGGGCAGGGATGGGCCCAGGGGTGGCAGGCAGTGGTCAGAGTGGGACGGAACCAACCTTTTGTTTCCAAGCCCGGGTAGCTGCACGGACCACGGGGGCGTCCTGGGTGGGAGCAGTGGCGGGGGCGGGCCCGGGGGCCGTGCTCAGAGTCTGCACGGCGGGCCCTGCAGCTGCCCGCTCTGAACCGCGACCTGCCGGCCTCCTCGGTCCCCTCTGCCTCTGTCCAGAAAAATGTCTAACTGTGCCTTGAACTCATTTACATTTCTGGCTTCAATGGCCTCACTTGGCAGCTGAGGCCGTATGCTAATTCCACCCTTTCATGAAGGAATTCTGCTGATTTTACTTACTTTTTATGGTAGATTTCCCCCCTTTTCTTCTTTTTTCTTCCTGCTGCCCCAGTAAACAGTTTCCTGAGGCCAGTCTCTCGGGCTGTGCGACCCCGCACGCTCGGACCGTCTCTGCCCAGCGCCCGGCGGGCCTCCCCCTTCCGGCACCGTCAGCCTGGGCCAGGCAGGAAGGCCTGCCTTGGCTTCCCTGCCTCTGAGGAGGGGCTCTCTGTGGCCTCAGGTCCCTTTTCTATAAGGGCCTGTTGTGTCTGAGGCCACCGTCGCTCAGAACCACCTGAGTGCAGTTTTTCCGTTGCGGCGCCTGGGGAGCGGTGGGCTCACTTCCGTGCTGGGGGAGGGGTGTCAAGATCCGTGACCTTGGCCGAGTTTCTTCACACCTGTCTTAGCTTGTTCGTCTGTAAAGGGGACTCGCAAGGGCCCCTCCTCCCCCTCACTGGGGGTCTGCCTGGGGTCTTCCCCCGGAGGGTGCGGCCCTTAGAGCCCTCTCTGTGGGCCCTGCCCCCCCATCCTCACGGCGGGTAGTCCTGTCCTTGACACGGTCACCTCCCCTGCTCAGCTCTTCTTCCTCCCTGTCTGTTTCTGGACAGGCACACGTCCCTTTTTGGAGTGTGCGAGGACACCCCCACTGCAGAACAGCCTCCATTAATTGCTAGTGGAGGGGCCTGCCCCCAGCGCTATGTGCTCACCTGAGCTCTGGCTGAGCACCTGCTCTGTGTTACTGCATGTGGGGGCGCCTTAGGGGTCCACGTTCCAGTGGGGGAGGCTGCAGGGGCCCCAGTGCGTCACAGAACAGGGCTGTCCCAGCAGTGTGGGGACTGTGGGGACCATGGGAGGGCCGCCTCGTCCAGACTAGGGAGAGCCTGGAAAGTACCTGGGAGGTGACATCCGACTGCAGGCTGAAGTGCGAGGTGCCGGGAGAAGGGGTGATGGGAGGAGCGCTTGGGTCCTGGAAGGCGAGAGCATGGCTGACCCCACGGGGCTGACCACGGGGCCGCGGGCGCCTGTGGATGGGGCAGTGGGGAGGCGGGAGAGGCGAGGTGGGGGAGCCAGGCCCAGCCCACTGACCTTCTGCCTGCTCCTCAGTGGGGCTCCAAGTGACCCATGCTCTTCCCCATGGGATAACATGGTGCTTTAAGAAACCAGGGCTCTGGGCTGAGTGCCTGCCTCTGACTGGCTCTTCGTCTTGGGAAAGTGGTGGAACTTCTGTCTACCTCGGTGTGTTCGCCTGCAGAATGGGGGTGTGGGTAATAGCGCCTGCGTCCTAGGGCTGAGCTGAACGAGCTCATGAGCACAAAGGGTTAGAACAGCGCCCAGCTCGGGAGGAGCGCCTGTGTTTACTGTGAGGGCAGGCTCATCTCTCGGGGAGGGGCTCGGTGGGGATCACCTCTCTCTAGAGGAAATTCCAGCCTGGTGCCTCTCTCTTCCAGGAAAATCATTGTCTTAGGTTATTCTCGGACTTTCTACCTCCTGGGAGTACTTTGAGACTCGGTGTGGAAATCTATGCTTGGAACTGCAGGGAGAAGCCCCCAGGGGAGGGCAGTGTGCAGCCTGCTCGGAGCTCTCGGGGCAGCACTGCCCCCCAGCCTCTCCTCCAGGCAGACAGGGAGCAGGCCCGGCTGTACAGCGGCACGAGGCGAGGGCCTCTGTCCAGAACGTCGGGTGTGGGGCAGCTGGCACCGCCAGGAAGAGGCTGAGGCTGGGGAGGGGAGTCTTGGCCCTGGTGGCCGCAGGGGCCAGGTCTGAGCTGAGGGTTGTCTGAGCCCTAGGCACTGCAGGCTCTGGGTCCTGGTGACGCTGAAGAGCCCACCGCCCTCCTCCTCCAGGGTGAACCCCTCCTGGCGTCTCCCGTCCTCTCCCCGTCAAGGCCCAATGTGGGTCACGGGGGCAGACTGATCCCTCATGCACTTCTGACTCACAGGTGACCGCCAAAGAGGTGGGCATTTCTTCTGCTTCCTCCAGCCCCTCTTCTCAAGAAAACCCCTCCAGAGACCTCACACTGGGAGCTACAGGCTGCTTTTGGCCAGTGGATGTGTTTTGTTTGGGACACGCAGCTTAAACATTTTTTTGGAATCGCTTGTCAACATTTAAAACTTGGCAAATTTCATACAATAGTCCAGATTTTTGGCTTCTCTTGAAAAATCAGAAGATCTGGCAACTCCAGGCCCACATTCCTTCCTGGCCATGTGGGCTGGAGCTGAGGAGGAACTGCCCCCTCCAGCCGGGGCCCAGGAGTGCCCGCTGCCTCAAGTCTCACGTTCCGTCTTGTGCCAAGCCCGCCGCTTGCCTGAGGGCCCAGCAGGCCGTGCGGGCTTTCACATTTGGGGACACTGCTCCTCGCAGTCTCCACTCAGGACAGGCCTGCGTCCAGCACTGGAGCTGGTGAGAACAGCAGCGCGGTGGCCCTCCTGGGCCAGGCCTGGACTGTGCCGTCTGCCTGCATGGTCTGGAGGCCACAGTGATCCCCATTTTGCAGACAGGGACACTGAGGCTCAGCAGCCACGGCTCCTGAGCACGCAGGAGCAGGAGCTGAGGTGGGAGCCAGTGTACCTCCTGCGAAGCTGTGGGTGCGTCCCCTTCCATGTGTCCTCGTCCCCTCGCTCCTCTCTGTGGGAGGGAAGGCATGTGTGCTGCAAACCTTTTCCTTCAGAGCTCCTCTTGGGATCACAGGCTGCTGTCCTCCAGAGAAATCCTCTTTGGTGCCACTTCAAGGAGGAGGCCTGATGGAACAAAGATGGGCCTCATGGGGCAGACCCGGGCTGGCTCAGGCTCCACTGCCACCTCAATCCAGCTGCTGCAGCCATGGTGCCTCCTGGACAGACTCCCCCTCCCCTGCCCTCTCCTCTGCCCGAGTGAGCGCTTACTGCATCCTGGGCACTGTCCAGTGCTTGTCTGAGCCCAGGTTTCTCGTGCAGAGGTGAATTGTCACCGGCATCTTGGCCAGCCAGGTTCAGACCCTCAATCATTGCACCCGCTCTTCAGAACCATGAGGCCCCCCTGCTCGTTCTCACAATGGAACTCACATCGACAGGGCCTAGATTCAGTTTTAGTGAAAAACACTGACTTAAAAGTAGCATCTCCCCCAAGGCACCTTGGAAAAGCCTTGGGAGGACCTGGACTGTGGGTCCCCGTCTGCTGTGGGTCTGGGGACATCTTGGTCCAGGCGCCGCACGAGGCGCATCACACAACTTTCTAAATGGTCAGTAGTGGCCCTGTCTCCCTTCTATAGACGAAGGAAAGACACGCAGCCCGTGGCTCAGACTTGTGTTCTCCACCGTGGGGCCTAACCGGGACCTCTGCCCCGAGTCCGAGCGGACCTCGCGTGTCCAGGGGCCGCATGACAAAGATTCAGGAGCTCTCTGTCCTGGGAAGCCCTGCTATTCCTGGTTGGTCGGCCAGTCCAAACGTTTCCTGAGTCCTGCTGGGGAGAGCGCCCTGGTTCCCTTCTGAGGTTCTTGTGCCCATGGCCGCCCCACGGGGCAGAGCCCGGCCTGGGGGCGGTTGTCTGGGTCCCAGCCGGCACTGCCGGGGAAGTTTGCTGCGTGATTTACGTT